ACCAGTGACAACCATTGGGTCAATGTCAAACGTGTCGTTGGCTGGGTCCACGTGGCCACGGTGGTAGTACCGCTGACAGAGAGCCAGCGCTGAGCCGTTGGCCCAAGGGCCACCCCCACCCTGAACRTAGGCGTACCGCCCCAGCGACACCTCGGGCAGCATCAGGTACTACGGGCAGAGAAGGGGAGGCTTCGTTAGCCCAAGGGCTCTGTCACGTGTCCCTCTCCCAGACTGTCCACACGCACCTGGTCCACAGCGTAGAAGATGGCCTGGTACAGCTGCTCCCTGGTATAGGCTGCGAGGGTGTCATCTGCCCCATCTGAATAGCCCAGCAGGAAGAGGTGTCGGAAGGCGATGGTGTTCTCCTCCCGGAATGTCACTGCCAGCTGGTTGCTGAGCCCGAACAGGATGAGCTGGCAAGAGGGGCAGGGGAAGTTGGCTCTGCTGGGGCAGGGCCTCCCTTGGGGCACAGGAGGAGGAAGAGGAAGGGTGGGCCCCAGAGGCATCCTGGGGATGGGCATCTCTGCTTGGAGTGAAAAATGCTGCCCTCCTCACCCTCCACTCAGGGCCTAAGCTCCATGCCACAACCACCATCATGTCCCCAGGGTGCAGCGCACAGTGGGCACTTGTACATCCCACAGCAGCGGTGAGCGTTCATCACCTGCTTACCAGATGCCTAAACCCAAACCTCCCAGTAAGCACACTACTGGGCTCTTTACCCAGGGTAGCCATAGCCTTGGATCAGAAGCAAGAGCTGAGGGCAGGGGCTGAGCGTGACTCATTGTGGGGTCCCCAAAGCCCAGCACAGGCCTGGCTTGGGGAAGCAGGATCACCTGGTTCGGCCACTGGATTGGTTCTCTTTGAGAGTCCACATGGTGTCAGACTGCCTGGGCTCAAATGCTATCTTCTAGTGCTCAGTCACTCTGTGGCTTTGGACAGGTCCCTGAACCTCTCCGAGCCTCTCTGGCCTCACATATGCAATGAGACTACAGCACTGGGCCTCTGTGAGCTGAAAAGGAGCTGCTGCACGCACAAATCTCCAATGCTCCTGGCTGGCTACTGCATTGTCAATGTGGTTATGCTGTTCCGAGGGATCAGGAAGAGGCTCCCATTCCCAGCCTCTCCTTCCAGGGGAATAGCAGCTTCAAGTAGCGTTTGATTGGGCCACCTGCTTGGCTGGTCTCACCTGCACAGTGACCACCAGGATCTTGACCACCTGTAGCATCAACTTGCAAGGCTTGCGTCCCTTGGCCCGGAACTTGTCACAGGGACTCATGAAAAAGTACTTGAGCCGGCGGCGGAGATCCTCCTCCTCTGAGGGGGTTGGAGGGGCTGGCAAAGCCCCTGAGTGGGTCCCATACCCAGGGTTGGGGGTCAAGAGTCGCTCGGTCTCTATGGAATCAGGAGAAAGCAGTAAGGCCTGGGCAGCTCTACTGGCTACAGGTTCAGCCCAAGGCCTGGGCTACTCCCTCTGCCTTCTTGCCCCTAATCCATGCTTCTGCCAAGGAACAACTGTGAGAGGTCTAAGAAAACACAGAAAACCTGCAACATTTTATGGCTGTACGCAGCGGTCCTTTACAGAGGTGTTGAGCTGGTGTTTTGGATAATCAAAAGGACCAGGTGCAATTGCACAAGCTAATAACCTCAGCTACTCAGGAGGCGAGGAAAGAGGGCCAGGCCACCTAGGGAGACCCACTCTCAAAAAAAAAAAAAAAAAAAAAAAAAAGCCTGAGCTGATTTGTGGTCCCGCTCACCAGCTCAGACAGGACATTCAGCCTTGCTGACCCTTAGCTTCCTCATCTGCAAAACAGAGCAATAATCATCACAAGGAAGATGAGGATTGATGCTTATAAAGTGTTTACCCCGGGGACAGGTACGTGGTGAGCATCAGAGCACTTCATCTATGTTCCTGTTGCGGGTTTGTGGGGAGAAGGAACTGCGGGCACTGGGTTCCCACAGGGTATATGAAGCCCATGGGCTCGTCCCAATTCCAAGCCTCACATTCCAGGCTTCTCTGGACAAACACCCAATAGATGACCTTTGAACTCATCACAACCTGGGCTGTCCTGCTGACACTGTCACAAGCCATAGGCCTGTGGAAGGGGTGCTCTGCAGTAACAGTAATAACTAGAACACATTTGCAGACCACTCACTCCATCCTCACCAAGGGCACTGGTCCTGGAACTCACAGGACATCTCCCTAAGCTCCTCATCTGAAAAGTGGAAGTCAAAAACATTCATGCCCAGGCACAGATCCTGAAGCTGCATTGAATTAGCAAGGCCACGCAGGTAAGGACCACCATCATTCCTCAGTGAGCAAGCGGTGCTGAGCACAGTTCTTCTTTTGAAACTAACAGGAAGACCCAAAGTTTCAGCAAAGGTTGGGGTCACACAGTGATTGTGACATGGTGACCATGTCCCAGAACTGTCCCTAACATCCCCATCACCTCCTTGCTTTTTCTTTCTAGGACTTGGAACCTTGTCTGGCAAGCTGTCAGAATAGATTTTTTCTTTTTTCTTTTCAATACTGGGGATGGGATCCAGGACCTTGAACATGCTAGGCAAGTGGTCCACCACTGTGCCACAACCCAGCACAAAAGCCATCAGGATAAGCGTGGGTGCTGTCAGAACTGTGGTGTAGGGAGGTCCCAGCTTCTGGCCTCTCCCTTTGGAGCTTGGATGCGCTTGTTGTTTACAAGCCAGGAGGAAGGGAAGCCAAAAGGCGGCTCCTGCCTTGGCTAGGTAACAGCTAGCCTGCCGCCACCCTACCAGTCCTGACGCCGATCAGGTGTTTCCAGCCAGCTCAAGGGGAGCACAACACACTTCCTCCACATTCCGGATGGGAGAGGACCTCTGAAGAGGTTTGGAAGTTGGGCAGCCACAGTCTGAGTTCAGGGAAACTGCGCATTTGCTTCCTGCGTTCAGGAAGGGAAGCCTGGGGTCTCGCGTGCGGGTCAGAGAAGCTGCTGCCAGCTGTCCCAGTTCCAGCAAAGTTGTGCAATCAGAACTTGGGCTCGGAATGGAAATCCTGGACATCTCGCCACCCAAGTCGGAGAAACCGGCGGCCCGCTGGCTGCCTGAGTTCAGGACCCCGGAGCAGAGCTTGGGTTTGGGAAGGGGGGAAGCTTGGTGCCTGCCCACCCGCCGCCCAAGTTCTAGGAGCAGTCTGCCCACGTCTCTACCGTGGAGCAGCTGAGAAGCCCGCACTGGAGTTGGGAAAGGGACACCGGCAGCTCCGCCGCCCGAGGTCGGAGAAGCTGCCCCGCGCGCCGCCCGCCCTCACCTGAGCCGCGCCGGCCCACCGGGGCTGCCATGCCGGGGCCGGGGCGCGCGGCTGGGCAGCCTGGGTCCGAGCGCCCGCCGCTGTCACTGCGGCCTCGCTCCCTCGCGGCCCCGCTTCAAACCCTCCAGCATCAGCTGACCCGCGCCGCGGTCACGTGACGAGGGCACCCGGGTGTCCACGTGACTGATCCAGTCCCGCCCACTGCGCCACGACGACCCCTCCCGGAGATGCACGCATGCGTGCCTTAGCCGGCGACTCGCGAGCCGATGGCGGTCGTGAGGTCCTAGCGTCACATCCCGCTGCTGGAGAGGAGATAAATGGACTGGCTCTGAGCGCGGCAGTGACTCGCCCCACCCCTGGCTCCCTGTCAGGCCCCGCGTGTGGTGCCACCTTCGTGACTTCCATGTTCAGAGTTTGACCCCTTACCCTCCGCGGCTCTGCAACCCACCTAAGAATTGTTCTCCTTCCTCCCGGCCCATCAGCAAACCAATTTTCTAAACCAAATAGGACCACTTATCGCCCCACCCACCCTTTGTCCACAGTCCGGAGTCCCCCAGCAGTCCTGGCCTGGACCTCTGAAGCCACCTCCTCCATCCTGGCGCACTTCCTCCTGCTACCCGCTGACTCCAGTGTTCACCCAGTAACCAGAAGCACATTCAAAGAATTATTCATATCAGTCCTCTGCCAGAGAACCTGCTGGCGGCTTCCCATTGCTGGGAAACAACTCCCCACCACCGCCTCCCAGTACTCTCCGGTCTAGCTCCCACCTCTGCCTCTAGTTCATCTCTTGATGATCCCAGGGCCTTTACACACTTTTGCACTGGAGCATAATAGTTAAGAACACCAGGCTCTGCAGGGTAGACAATTCAGGTTTAAATCTAGGCATTGCCATCTACCTGCCACTTCTATGTTTTCCAGTGTCTCTTAACACTGCGTGCCTGTTTCCTTATTTGCAAAATGGCAAATTACTGGGCTCTCAGGGCTGTTGAAAGAAATAAATGAGCAAATGCAAGATCACTGACAAAGCTGGGCAGCAGTGCTGATTATTCATTTAGTGGTACTAGACCTGTAAAACCCTTCCTCCGGACAGTGTTCATGCCACCTAAATCAGAAGTCTTGTTCTGCTTCTTTCAGAATGTGCCATCCTCTGATTACTTTTGAAATAGTTTCAATTTGAGGATGTGTTTTGTCAGGGTGAGGGCCATACTTATCTTGCTCCCTTGTGGAGACACTAACAATCAGCAGATGTTTGTTGAACACGTAAATGTGCAGCCGCCATTTGCCTAGTGGGCTTCCAAGGGCAAGGGGTAGGCTCAGGGAGCAAATGGGGATGGCTGCTGCCATGGTCCATTGTTAACCTCTATTACAGCCCACTAGACCTGGCCAGAGATTAAGCTAAAGGGAGGGGACTTTGTCAGGCCACCTGCAGGGCAAGTCTCCCCTGACTAGGACCCCCCAACCCAGGCCTGGAGAGGCAGAGTGGTGACTAGTGGGATGGACAAATGTGAGACCTTATAGACAGGGGAAGCTAGGAATCTTGTGGGGTGTGGCTCCAGGTGTATGGTTGGCCTTGGCCACACCCTCCCATCTCTGCTCACCCAGCAACCAGAAGCATCTCCTAGAGAGATGATCCTGATGCCTGTTCCCTCAGCTAGCGGGAAGGGGCCAGGCTGTGCATCAGGGGAGGAACGCAGAAGGCAAGCCACAACGCAGAGCCGGGAGGCAGTGGGAGGATTTTACTAACTGCACAACACACAACTTCCCCAGGCCTGTGGTGCTGGTGTCCCCTTCAGCCATCAGGCCCCAGTAGTGCCCCTTGCTCCTTTACCCACTCTGGGCTCTCACCAGTAGGGAGGGCTGGGCTGACAGTGTCACAGATAGGAGAGCAGGGATCAGGGTGGGACTCAGGGTTGGGGTCAGGGCTGGGCACAAGGTCAGGGTCATCATCATCACTAGGCTTAGGGTCAGAACATTCAACAGGCTCAGGGCTGGGGGTGGATGTGGAGCCAGAGAGAGGTTGAGGGCTGGGATTGGAAAGGGAGCCCAGAGCAGAGCCAGGGTCAGGGCTGCGGCCAGAGCTGGGGCCAGGACTGAGACCCAGGCCAGAACCCAGCACAGACACAGCATCAGGACCCAGGAAGGAGACTTGCCCAGGCCTCATCACGGACGCAGGGCTCAAGCCAGGCCCCAGGCTCAGGCCAGCGGCCGCGGCCGCTGCTGCTGCGGCAGCGGCGGCAGCAGCTGCGGCGCCCTCGTGCACCCGCTTGTGCTTGGTGAGGCTCGACGCTTGGCCAAAAGCCTTGCCACAGAGCTGGCAGCGGTAGGGGCGCTCGCCAGAATGCACGTGGAGGTGCTGAAGCAGCGCCGAGCTCTGCCCAAAGGCCTTGGAGCAGTGCGGGCAGGCGTAGGGCCGCTCGCCGGTGTGGATGCGCAGGTGGTGCTGCAAGTTGGAGCTCTGCCCGAAGGCCTTGCCACAGTGGGGACAGCGGTAGGGGCGCTCGGCGGTGTGTGTGCGCTGGTGCTGCAGCAGCGCTGAGCTCTGCCCGAAGGCCTTGCCGCACTGCGGGCAGGGGTAGGGTCGCTCGCCGGTGTGCGTGCGCAGGTGCTTCAGCAGCGCGGAGCCCTGCCCGAAGCCTTTGGCGCAAACTGGGCACTTGTGCGGCCGCGGGCCGCCGTGTGTGCGCAGGTGCTGCGCCAGCAGCGAGCCGTGGCCAAAGGCTTTGCCACAGACGGGGCAGTGGTGGGGCTTCTCACCACTGTGGCTGCTGCGGTGCTTCAGCAGCGTGGAGCGCCAGCCGAAGGCTTTGCCGCAGGCAGCGCACTGGTAGGGCCGCGCCCCGGTGTGGATGCCACGATGCTGAGCCAGGGTGGCGCCGTGGCTGAAGGACTTGCCACAGTCGGGGCAGCGGTACGGCTTCTCGCCGCTGTGGGTGCGGCGGTGCTGGCTCAGCCCGGAGCTTCGACGGAAGGCTCGCCCGCAATCGGGGCAGGAGAAGGGCCGGGGCGGGCTGGCTGGGGGAGGGAGCACCTCGGGGCTGGTGGCCAGGACTTGGGGGGTGGCAGTGAGGCTGGAGGAAAGGGGGTCCACGTCTGGTGCGGTGGGGCTTAGGGTGTCGCTGTCAGGGTCGAGAACCAAGGGTACAGGGCCAATAACATCTGGATCGAGGTCGAAATTTGAAGACATGGGGTCCAAATCTTGGGGATCGGAACCTTGGTTCCCCAAGATGGAGCCTGGAGCTTGCACATCGGGACCCAGATCCTCTGGGACAGGGTCCAGATCTTCATAGTTGGGGTCCACATCTTCTGAGACAGTGTTGAGGTCTTCTGGATCAGGCTCTGGGTCTTCAGAAACTGGGTCCAGATCCTCTTTGTCAGAGTCAAGCTCTTCATAAACAGGCCTCAGGCTCTTGTGGCCTGGGTTCCTGACTAGGACTGAGCGACGCATCCCAGGTGTGAAACTGCTGACTGATTCAGGGACAGGATCTGCAGAGCGAGGACAGAGAGTAGGTAGAAATAGGTTCTGGGAAACAGGGAATCTCTTTGGAGTCTGGGCAGGGATGGGAGAGGGATTCAGCCATTCCCCCATAACTTACTCCTAAACACACTCATGGATCTTTCCCTGACTCTGCAGAAAGACTTCTCACTTGCCAGTCAGGATGTGGTATAGAAGGACCTTGGGTGGGACATGGTGGGACCCTCCCTTCTCAGCCCTGAACCTGGATGAAAGCATGGGACCCCAAACTAGGTCTCTAGTGCCCAATCCCATGGCTCTGCCCCTCTGTCCATCCTGAACTCTTGTGGGGATCCTGTGAAAGAGGGAGTCCTGGCCCCCCTCCTGGGAAAAGGGTGGTGTCAGAGTTCCAGTGTCCTGAGCACATGGCCCAAATTCCTGCCCTCCTCTCACCCAAATTGGAGGTGACAGATTGTAGAAAGAAGGGCCCCTGACTCAACTCTTAGGTGGAAGGCTGAGCTCTACAAACTATGGTTGGAGAATAACCTAGGCACTCTGTGTGTGTGTGGGGGGGGGTGATGACATCTGGTACCCCTCCTAAGTCACTGGGGGAGAAGACAGGAGAAGGAGACAATCTGAGTTCCATACCTTACAGCTTAGGGAATACATTCTCTCCTAGAGAGATGATCCTAATGCCTGTTCCCTAAGCTAGTGGTGTAGGGGGGAAACCATATTTGAGACCCCTCCTGATGGGGAAGTAGAAGCAGGGAGATTTAGAGATCCCTTAGGGGAAAGCGGGGGTCAGTTACCAATATGTCTGTTTTCCCAGTTGACTAGAAGATTGTGAATTCTAACCCTTAGCTGGAGAGTAGGTGAAAATAACACCTGGGGATCCTCTGGGTTACTGGGGGAACCCCCAGGGAGGGGAGATTCTGAGCAATGAACCCACAGCTTGGGTGTGGGGATTATGTCTCTACACTTGTGTTTGTTCCCCCCTGGAGAAAAAATCCTGAGCTGAATCCAGCCTCATGGCTGGGGGTAGGGAGAGGTGGGGTGGTGGAGGAAGAATAGTTGGAGCCACTTCAGCTGGATTACCAGTTGGGGGATGTCTTGAGTTACCCCAGGGCTGAGTTCCTGGGAGTGGGGGAATCTCGGGTTCCCCTTCTGGGAAAGGGGACCTACTGAGCCACAACCCCATAGCTGCAAGGGGGTAAGCAAACAAAGAGTGTTGAGCTTCTGAATGCCCCCTCAACCCAGACCCCATAGTTGGAGGGTGGGGGAACTACTTGGGTCCCCTCCTGGATTCCTAGGAGGCAGAGGAACCCTTAGACTGCTTCCAGAGGAAAGACCTCCTCAATTCCCAGCTCTTAGCTGGAAGACGGGAGGAGAAAGCACGGAGCTCCTGGAGACAGTTGGGCCCCTGAATAGCCCTTTGAGAAGGAGCTTCCCGAACTCTAGACCCCAGGACGAGAAGGGGAGGCAAACAATAGCCGGGCCCTTTCCTGGGGTCCTGGGGGCAGAAGGAACCCCTGGGTCCCCTTCCTGAGGAAAGGTCCTCCTGAATCCCCGCACCCAAGCTGGACGTGGGAAACCAATGCCCAGGGCCCCCGCGTGGTTTCCAGGAGGGAGCGTCCTGAGCTCCGCACCCCAGAACAGCGGGCGCCCCCGCCCCTCCGGCTCCGAGGCTGGGGCTCCGGGCCCTCCCCCGCCGCGGCGGGATGAGCGCGCTAGGCCGGCGGCCGCTGGGACCCCCTCCCGCCGCGCCCCGAGCCCCTGGTCCCGGCAGGAGCGGGCGTCTTGCGGGCGGGGGGCGATCAGAGGTCGCCCCCGGCCGCGCCCCACGCGGGGCCCCCAGCCCGCCCCCCGCCTGGTCCCCTCCCGGCCCGGCCCGCTCGCGAGGACACTCACCCGGCGCCCCTCGCCCCTGCCCGGCCCGCCGCGCCCGCGCCGGCCGCCGGCGCCCCCCAGGCCTGCAGGAAGCCCCCCGCCCGCCAGCCCCGCCGGCGGCCCCCTCGGCCCAGCGGCCCCGCCAGGCGCTCCCGGGGAGCGAGAGGGGCCGGCCGAGGGCCGCAGCGGGAGCTGCTGGGACTTGTAGTTCGCCCGCGCCCGCCACGGCCGTCGCCATCGCTGCCCCCGCCCCCCGGGCCAGCCTTTGTCCCGGCCCGGCCGCCCCGGCCGCGCGACCGCGCCTTTGTCTGCGCCGCGCCCGCCCGCGCCGCTCTGGCTACGTCCCTGCGGCTGTCCTCGGGCCCTCTCGGCCCTTCTCTGGCCCCGGCCCTCTCTGTCTCTCTCTCTGGCCCTGCCTCTCCCAGTCCCTAGCTCTCCGTCCCKTTCTCGGTCCTCATCTCTTTATCCCTGTCCTCTGTGCGTCGCGTTGCCCCGTCCCCTCACTTTCTCTGCCTCTGCCTCCTCTTTGCGTCTGTCTCTGYTTCTCTTTCTGCCTGTGTCTGTCTTGGCTTCCTGTCCATGTCTCCGACTACCTTTGTTCAAAAGACAGCAACTGTGACATGGCTGGGGCAGACTCGCCTTGCACAGGAGCCTGGTGAGGCCTCTGAGAAGCCCCAGGGTTTTAAAAACATGTCTATCTTCACTTAATCCAGAATTTCTCAAATTTTTTTTTCTTTTTTGATAGTGGAACCCCTCACTCTTTCTGGGTAACACCCTTTTACACCCCCAGGGGAGCAGAGTCTGAGATATTCTCTTTCCCTTAGTGTCTTCAGCCTCCTACCCAGATGACGAGTTGCTGCTGTCCCTGGGGGGCTCCAAGTGCCTGTCTTGGCTGCTGATTTCTGGGAAACTTTAGCCAGGACTGGGGAGGGCTCTGGACACACTACCTGGCAACACAGTTCCCCGCTGGGGAGGGGGTGAGGAGAAAAAACAGCCCCTGGCAGCTGGCAGCCGGGCCATGATGTTCTTTATTAAACATAAACAACGGCCACAGAATATAAGCAATGATCAGACAAGGCCACTCTGTGATCATATCTAAACCAAGATAGAGAGGAGAACACACTGCAACCACAAAAAAATGAGTGCCCACCCTCCTCTCCCCACTAATGCAAATGCTGCTGCTTCTTGCCAATGSCAGCAGCGACTCTTTCAATCCTCCCACCTAAAAATCTAAAAATCTAAAAAGCTAAAAATTGCTGAACCCTCTGCCACGAATTTGTTCTCTGCTTCCTCACAGCACATTCTGGAGTCGCCTCAGCTTTCCTTAAAACCACCCAGCATAAGCCCAAATCCTCCCCAAATCCCAATTCCCTCTTCTAGAGGGACCCTAAGGTCCCCCGTGGTGGGTGTCTCCTTACAAAAGAAGCTAAATCATTTTTTTTTTTTTTTTGGACTACAGGTGGGTTCCTGAGAATCTTTGGTGTGTTGAACACCACCCACCCGCAAATACCAACAGCCCCAAGCAACCAACCAGATGTCCAGGCGTGTGTCCCTTCCTGAACCTTGTGGGTCTGTGCTGGACTATGGTCCGAGACCTTCCTGCCAGTTCACAGTGGATCTGAATGATCTGAGATGACTTCAGTCGGATGGGGTCTCTGGTGCCTGATCCTGTCACCCCCCRATAATCTCATTAGCAACAGCATGCGTAAGGACATCTGTTGTTTCTCTCTGCTCAGCTCATCTGAGCACCTTGCTTTTGTGGTCGGATCTGTGTCCAAAGCTCCCCAGTTTGATATGAATCTACATGTACTAACAAAGAACATGGCCACAAGAACTAGGTCTGGGATGATGTGAAGTTGGTGGGTTTTGCCCTTCATCGGGGATCATGAGCTATAGGGACTCATCATGTCTGCAGTCACATCCTCSGTTGTTCAGATCAGCCTGGGAAATGAGGCCAATATACACCAGAATGTAGAGGTTACACCAGGAGAGAGCACTGGCTAGATTTGTGCCTGAAGCCCGAAGCCTTCTTTCTAACCTCAACAAATTTCCAGAGTTTTGAACTGGTTTTAGGATTTCTGTCCCTTTCATTCATTTATTGATAAAAATAACTTAAAATGTGGATCTGGCTAAGCAAAGCTGGGCCACCACCTGCATGGATTCTAAAGTGAACAGGGCTCCCTGGGTTTGTGCAGTACACAGACTGTCTGGATGGATATGACAGCCTCGTAGAAGAACATTCCTCAGAAATCTGTTATGTGGAAGAAAAACAGCTAATTAAATTGTAGCCTATTTTATCTTGAAACTCCAATCACATGTCTCCTGAGACTGTGGATTGAGGGACTTTTAACAAAAATATCAGGATGTTGGGATCTGTGGGAGCTTTCATGCAGCCTTCAGCAACGTCTTGGAAGACACAAGCTTTTTTTTAGGCTTCTTATGAAGCAAAAGCTGATATCTGCTCCATTTTGATTATTAAAAGTAAGTTCTCTGCTCCAAGTTGAAAGAGTGGACAGGTAATGCTGTGGGAGGTAAAACTGGGACCATAGATAGCTGGGGGACCCTGGTTGTCTCTAGGTCACTCCCAAACACCTTCTACTCTCTCTCCACAAAAGGAAACAATGACTCTCACTAGGAAGAGAAGGTTTGCAGAATTATGCCCTGGGGCACGCTAGATGCTCTGGGCAGGCGCAGATCAGTTGCTAGGAAATGGGGTCCAGCAAGGTTAACCCCAGTCTCAGGGTAAAGTTTGGGGGAACCAAAAATTTCAGAGTGGCCTACTCAACTGGGCCAACCAATCCTAGTACACCATTYCTCTGAGCGCAGTGATTGATTCATGGCTGAGCATGTGACTCAAATGGACCAATCAGCATGTTTCTTAAATTCTACTGGGAGAAGGGGAGGTAGCTCCTTCCTTTGGTGCTATCTTCATCCTCCTTTCCATCATTTGGAGGGAAATAGGATTGGGGGATGGTGAGGAAGACAGTCCAGATGGGGAACCAGCATACCCCATGTTAGACCCAATTCCAGGCCTTGTTTTGTTTTTTTCCTTTCCTCCCTCCCTCCCTCTTTCCTTCTTCCTTCCCTCTTTATCTCTCTCCCTCCCTCTGTCCTTCCTCTCTATTTCCTCCCTCCTTCTTTCCTCCTGTCCCGCCCCCTCCGTTTCTGCTGGAAATGTAACCCTGGGCATCCGCATGCTGCATGKGAAGCCTAGCACCGAGGCACTCCCAGCTCCCAATTCCAGACATTCTTGTTTCTAAGTCAATAAAATTCTTTTTTGCTTGGACTGGCTAGAGCTTGGTTTCTGTCCCTTACAAAAAAATTTACTTAAGACAATTTTTAGGTGCCATTCGTTGAGCTGTGGGTCAGATAATTCAGGCCCTGTACCAAGCACAGCCACATTTTATTTAATTCTTGTAATCCCTCTGTCTACCAAGGAGGAACTATTGTGTGTCCCCATTTCACAGGTGAGGAAATGAGGAATTTCAGAGCTCRAAACCACCTGTCCAAGGCAGGAAAATGACAGGTCTGAGTTCTGTTGCCAGGTGCTGCGTACACTTGATGAAATTGTTTTCCTTTAAAAGTTAATCGGTTTTCCCACATTCAATCTTATTTTATTCATCCTGGTCCAGAAGCCTTGGTGTGTGTGTGGTGGGGTGCTAAATGTAATAGAGGAATGGATGTAAATTCAAAAATACACCCAGAATCATCCTATAGTGTTTTCCCCTGCTCATTGAACGTTTCYAGTCATGGGCCTGTTCTCCCTTGGCCAGCCACCCCCGGATGCTCAGTTCCATGACTAGGAAATGCTTCCAGTTGTGCTGAAATCCTACCCATTGTTTTTCACCTGGCCTCTGGGCTGCTGGAAACCATCCCTGGAACTAGACAGGAGCACAAGCAACCCTGTAACTGGAGCTACAGAGACCTGAGCTTCCTAGCAGCCAAAGCAGAAAGGAAAGTCTTTCTGTTCTAGTTATCTGGTCAAAAGGCAGACTAGCTTCACCAGAACAGGATGTTCTGTTGCCATGGTTCCCAACCAGGGCAATTTCCGCCACACCTCACCATGGGGGACATTTGGCAATACCTGTTGTGTGTGGGGGGTACGCTATTAACAACTAATGGATCGAGGACACCCTGTGATACACAGGGACAGCCTCCAACARAGAATTATCTGACCCAAGATGCCGGTGGGGCCGAGAGTGAGAACCCAGATTTTTCACAGCACAACTCGGAGCAGCRTCTTGCAAAATGTCTTCAGAGCAGGCAAGCACAGAAGGGTCCTGTGGCCAGCAGACCCTCTTGGGGCCAGTGTGGGACTATCTATGAGTGCAGCCAAAAGGGCCATCCTGTTCCTGTAGGGTCCCTTGCTGTGCAAACGAAAGCCTGGCCTCCAAGAGCTGATGCCGAGGGGGGAGAGGGCACCTGACCAGGCTCAGGGTTGGCTCCTTGTGGCTGCTGGACGGGGCGCCTTGGTCTTTGGAGGTCTGGCCCCAGGTTCATTCTTTGAAACAGGATTATAACAGCCTACAGCTTGGCCACGAAGGCCCATGCTATTCCAGGTAGAAGTCACTTCTTCACCAGACCCCAGACCCTAAAGGTCAGGCGCTGTCCAAGGTACTGGTCGCTCGGGGGCTTTAGGGCCTGACTCCACCATTTTTCCTTCTGACCTTCTGACCTTCTGACTTTCGGTTGGCTGCACACCTGCCTCCTGGGACCTCACTGTGTCCTTGTGGCTTTTTTTTKTTTGTTTGTTTTTTCCTGGGTGCTGCTCTGATCTAAGGGCTGGTCATGTGGCCCACCAGGGCACCGCTCAGCTTCCCGTCAGTTGTAAGGATCTCATGAGAGATTTGCTCTTTTGCTCTATTTTACAGATGAGGCTCACAGGGGTTAAGGTAACAGTGACTCTCACTAGGAAAAGACGGTTTACAGAATTATGTCCTGGGGCAAGCTAGATGCTCTGGGCAGGTGTAGATCAGTTGCTAGGAAATGGGGTCCAGCAAGATTAACCCCAGTTTCCCCATAAAGTTTGGGGAAGTCAGGACCTGGAGGAGTCAGGATGTGGATCGTGTCCATC